AGAGGGCTATGGGGAACAGAGAGCGTGAGAGCCAACCAGACCCAAAGAAGCCAATGAGCACATGAGGGAAGACTGAAAAGATAGCAGGCAGCCAGGCCCAGCAACTCATGTGCTAGTCCAGCCCTCATGGCAACTCCAGTGGAATAGTCCAGGCCAAAACTAGTGAGCCAAATCCTGAGCTCATTTTAATGGCTTCTGTCCCAAACCTGAGTCACTGGGGATTCCATAGACTTCTAAGAGAGCCCTACATGCGTTTCTAAAAACAAACTGCTTGATGCTGTCATGGAAAACCTGGATCTTTGCGTTCTGTGGTTTCATTATGGATTACATCCAGGTCACAACCTAAGGAAGACAGCTGGGGGCGACGACCCTGCTGGCCGATTACCCAGCTTTTGTAATGAATCCCAGAGGGCTCCAGATGATGTGTGTTTCTGGCTCTGCCAAGCTCTGGACAAGTCCTCACCTCGTGAAGACCAATCAGCCTGTGATTTAGTTTGTGTGGGGAGCCTGAAAAGCCACCTGCAGTCAAGGCTCAACTGCGAGAAGCTGCCTCCAGCAAGGAGAGGAATTAGAGACTGTGTGTCAGACGGAAGAGCAGTGAGAGCAAGAAGTTCTTGGTTTTCCTGTCAACTCAACTGCTATCTTCTGCTTTTTAAAAAAACGCCCCAAGGACACCCACAGTCACCCCAAAGCCACAGGAATACTCTACACTCTTTAGCCCCAACACAGGCAGGTTATGAAGGGGCCAAGAATGGCCCAAACAACACAGTGATGTTTGATTTTTCAATAGAACAAGGTCACTTCTAAAGACTGGAAGAGAAACCACTATTCCTTAAAATGCAGCAATTCTAGGAAACATTAAAAAAAACCAACTAAATCCTGCCAAGAAAGCAGAAAAACTTCAATAACCACATAGCTACCACTTATTGTTTACTATGTGCCGAGTACTCGGCTTAAGCCTTTCTTCTCATATATGATCTAATGTAACCCACAAAACAACCCTGAGGTATGTATTATACCTCATTATACCCATTTCACAAGTGAGAAAGGAGGTTCAGAGAAGTGAGGTCAATTACTGGCCATTTCATGGCCACTGTAAGGTGAGGTCAGGACTGATCCAGAGGCAGGTGAGGCTTGACCTCTAATTGCTGCCGAGAGAGAGAAGTACTGAACTCCGAAGGCGTCTGTGCTGAGTACTTAGGAAACGTCAGATGGGTGCCCAGCAGTAGGCTAGACCTTGAAGGCAAATCCTATATCTGGGTTGATGTGATAGTCAATAGTTGTATCTTCTTCTTATTTTTAAGTAACATAGATTCTGAGAGTTCCACTGAGGTAGCAAATTCTTTCACATCCACTTCTAAAATCAAAATACCCAGATTTTGATAATTTATGTTACACTTTCTATAGACAATGAGTCTACACAAATCTAAGGCCTATTTATTCTTTAAAATTAGTCACAGTAAGGAATATGCTTACAGTATCTTGTAATTTTTCTTCCAGTTATATTAAAAAAATGTTATTTTTGCCAAAATGAAAGTTTTAAGAACAAACACAGTCTGAGTGTATTTCCAGAGAATGCTCTTGTTGCGCTGGCAACAGCTCCTTTCTCACCATTTGTTCCCATGTCACATAGATGCGGGGCTGAGAACCGTGGGGGGGTGTGGGGGGGGCGGGGGGGAGGGAGACTGACGTTAGCAGCTGCACCGAGTCCTTGGCTGAGGCTGGTGCTGCCCAGATGCTATTACATATTGGCCGACAGGAGAGAAAGCAAGTCAGCTGTTTCAGACACTGGTGGGGCAACTTTCTCAGCCATAGGTTCAAGGACCATGGCTGCCATTTTGTTGGCTTGAACTACCCAGTATAGACCTCCATTAGGAGAGAAAGAGCCCACCAAGCATCCCTTACAAGATGTGCCCCCTCCCCGAACCATGAGGGAGTCACCTGCCCAGTGCATAGTCCATCTCACCCGAGATTTCTGTTCAACAGGGATGCTGCTAGGCTAGGCAGAGAAACTACTCCTTCCTGTACTTCAGTCCTTAGCCTTAGATCAGTGGGCTCTAGAGAGATGGTCTGGTTTATAGGAATCTCTGCCTCTTGCCAATTCAAAATTTTAAATAATTTCAGACTCTCTGAGATGCTGTGTTTACTCAGAGGGAACCTAAGTGAGAGGGGTGGGGAGAAAGTTCTCTTAGAAAATCTAGACTTTTGGGACGGACAGGTGACCAACAGACTAGCACCTCAGGTATGCTACTATTTCCTTCCTTTCAACCCTTCTTCCCAGAGCCCTGATACAGAGAGGGAGGGAGAGAGGGAGGGAGAAGCCAGGAATAATTCACTGGAGTGTATGAATAATTCCTACGACATATACTGACCTTTGTGCCAAAATGAACACTCTTGTCATTTATGTGAAATAGCAAACAAGAGCCCCAAAAGATTTGTTGGACTAATCCTCATTCTTAGAGACTGAGTTCACTGGACTAACACCTTATTAAAGACTGCATGGAGGCGCCTGGGTGGCTGAGTTGGTTAAGCATCTGACTCTTGATTTCAGCTCTGGTCATGATCTCAGGGTCGTGGGATCGAGCCCCACATCGGGATACATGCTGGGCATGGAGCCTGCTTGGGAGTCTCTCTCTCCCTCTCCCTTTGTACTGCCCCCCCTTCAAAACCTGCATGTAAATAGTCTGTAAGACTGAAAGGGTAACCATAAGTTGCTTGTGAATGACTGTAAAACACAGCTTAAGGTGTTATGGCCCAAGATGCCCCATTCGTACTATGGACAGCCAGGAGTGCTAGAAGGAACTAAATTTCTCAGGATGAAAAACATTCTTAGGGATGACAAACCAGGAGTTTTGCCTGCATACCAGCACTTTGATAAAATTCATCGTAAAGGCATGAATCACCACGGATGTGGAAATATACTAGTAAGGAAAAATTACACAGAAATCCACTTCTCTGGTCAACCCGGGCTCTTCGACAGGATTAATAAATTGTGTATGCTGCCTTCTCTTCGTCCACCTGTTTATTCTGGCTTTTCAAAAGCCTTTGGTAATACTTCTCAGCAGAAGTTTTAAGATACACACAGCATATATGCACATACCTCTGAGGCACTGTGTGTCTCAGGGCAATAAAGTAGGGGCATTTCTCTGACAAGAAAAAGATGAATCTTATTTAATGTAGCTGGGAGGTAAAATGCCAAGCTGAAGGGGATAAACTTCAGATTTCAGAAGTGAATAAAAGGGATAATGAACTTCAGAGAATTAAAAATTTAAGGTGAAAAAAATCTAAGGTAAGGTTATATTTTCCAATGTCCCTATTTTTCAGATGAGGAATGCCAAGCATTTATCTCAAGCAAAACTGAAAACGAGAACCCTGGCCTCCCCAGTGCTGTGAATGCCTAGGAGCGCTCGAGTCATTCATCAACCCGCTAGTCCTCTCGGAGAGATGGGGGCCCCAGGAGCATACCCCCCATGCAAAGAGATCAGCACCGTGCAGCAGGCCCTCTCTCGTTTCTCTAGGCCCCTTAATCCACCAACCACCACACACACATATATATGGGGGCTCCCCTAAGACTGGGTGAACAGAAAACATTATCTTATCAGCTGCCTGGGAAATAACTGTTGGTTTGATCTGCTGATTTGGAAGCCAGCCCTGCTGAGCTCAAGAGTTTGCTATTAGACTAGAGTTAATTCACTTGGGGTCTGTTTCCTCACAGCCCTGCACACCAGGCTCAGTGCTTTACCTTCACTGTTGAAGAGTCCCACGCACAAAGCTTTAGGATTTGCTGAGGGATGAGTCATCCGTGCCCTTCAGTTAGGGTTTGTGGGTGGATTACCGCTCTCCTGTTGGAGTTCAGATTAACAAATGCCTTGGTTCTAACTGTTTAAAAAGTGATCTTTTTCCCCCCTGAAAAATCAAAGCGAGAGTCTAGTCCTTTAGTTCCTTGACGGTATCTTCAAACTGCAGCGTGTCTACGTGTTTACTCCTGCCATCCAGAACAAATCCCTTGAGCCTAGACAGACTGAGCGATACCCGCTTGGCTCAGGATCCACCTTTCAAACCCATAGGGGAAAGGCTATGGAAGTGCTGGTGTGCGTGGAAGTTTTCTCACAGCTCCCGGCCTCCCTTCTGGGATCACCGTAAAGGGCGCACACTCTTCTTTCCACCAATTTCTAACAAGCTCATTAGTGAGGGATTGCCTGAGAGTGGAACAGTTAGTTTGTATTTTCAGATCTAAATGCACAGAACCTTCTGTCAGGCTCCGGGAGACAGACAATTTAAACCTGAATGTGATTAAACACAGAGCTGCCCATACTCCCTCCTTCCCAGCCTGCTGCTTCCCCTCCCCAAGCTGAAATCATCCTGCGGTTGGGCATGGGGCTGTGCGTGCGTGGCGGGACCACTGCCCTGGCCTGGAGGCCGCACAGGCACATGCCCTCCTTCCTAGCACACGCGGCCTGCTGCAGGGGGGCCTCTCTCACCGAATTTCCTCAGTGGGATGCACGGACGTGGAAAGCATGCTTTTTAATGTAATGGGAAAAGCAAAACAGTAGGAGTAGTCACTCTAAGAAAACCCAAGGAGGGCGCCTGGGTGGCTCAGATGGTTAAGCGTCTGCCTTCGGCTCAGGTCATGATCCCAGGGTCCTGGGATCGAGTCCCGCGTCAGGCTCCCTGCTCCTTGGGAGCCTGCTTCTCCCTCTGCCTCTCTCTCTCTCTCTGTCTCTCTGTCTGTCTCTCATGAATAAATAAATAAAATCTTAAAAAAAAAAAAAAGAAAGAAAACCCAAGGAAATCAGCGAAGAGGAACATGGGAGAGAAAGAGCAGGCGTAACAGGGGAAGGGGAGCCGTGAGGGCAGCACACTCCTGTTGCCTGGAACAGTCTTTGCCAAGCCAGTGTGCGCGGACAGGAGACGGCCTTCCAAACCAGCAGGGATGGACCAGAGCAGCAGGTGCGCAGCACGCACAGCGCAAGGGCCCCGCCGTCTCCCCGCACACTTACCTGCAATCCCTTGCAACAGCCCGCAGACGTTGAAAAGACTCTTCTTCATGATGCTCTGCACACACATGGTGAAGACGGACACCAAGGCCACGATGCAGAGGATGAAGATGCCCACGGCGAGGAAGATAGCGGTGGCCTGCCAGAAGCCGCTGGCAATCTCGCCGAAGTTCTCGGCATAGGGCCCGCACAGCGTCTCCCGCGGCACGTGCTGCACGCCGGGGTTGCGGATGCAGCGGGCGTAGATGCCCAAGGTCGGGTGGTAGGGCTCCGACGAGCCTCCGCTCCGGTCCTCGGGCTCGGCGCCGCTGCGACCCTTGGATGTGCCGATGAGCCAGTCGGCGCTCATGAAGGCAATGAGCTCTGCAAAAGCCACCACAATACTCAGGAGGGTCCAGAGCATCGAGCGACAGGTGACAATAACATGACACATATTGATGTTCCAGGCGGAGAAGTCAGGAGTCCACGGGGTGAAGAAGAACAGCCAGCGGGTGGGGAGGGAGGCTCAGGCGGCCTCAGGAAGCAGTCGCTGCTCCGGGCGCTCACTCCCACAGCCTGGGGCTCCCTCTGGCCGGCGTCTGGCAGCGCGGCGCCGGGCCGTCATGCTGCCATGTCCGAGCTCGGAGCGCGGCCTCACCTACGGGAGGGAAGGCAGGAGGGCGGTGAGCGGCGGCCAGGCTCCGCCCCGCGGCGCCGCCGCCAGCGAGCGCGCGGCCCCCAAAGCCAAGCGTGCGGGCGCCGCGGGGCTGCTCCCCGCGCTCCCCAGCCCTCCCCAGCCCGGGCCGCCGCGTGCCGCTCGGCGCCCCCCCGCCGGAGCAGATCCCGGTCCCCGGCCGGCGCGCCGCGGTCACCGGTTTTCTTTGTTCCCATTCTCCGTTCGCGAGCTCTCGCGCCCTGCGTGCGGTGGTTCCCTTTTCTCCGGGTCGGCGGGGGGCCGACGCTTCGGCCCAGGAGCTCCCGCCAGAGCCGCGGCACTCTCGGGATAGGGCTCCTGCTCCATCATCTCTTACCAGACAAGGTCAACGGCACGGAGAGCCAGATAGATCTCGATAGGACCTGCAGGCAACGAACGCTGCCGACAGCCTGGCCGTGTTTTTATAAAGCTCACAGGGACTCTCTGCCTGCTGTCTTGGTACGAGATGAGGTGAGTTTTGAAAAACTCGCACCAAAAGCTTTTGCTTAGAGACAGCGCAGCAACACCCACTTTTATTGCCTGGGAATCAAATTAGTGGCAGAGACCTAAGAGGGAGGGTTTGCTTCATAGGTAAGTGAGAATTTATAAAAGGAAACACTATGAAAAATAACAACACACTGCTCCCCAAACTTATTTTTATTCATTTCTCACAGGGTGATTTCTGGACAAAAAGCTACACTAATTAAAACTCAAAAGAGGAAAAAATAAGAAAGCCTTGAAGAATTCATGACTTACTCACTCGGGGAAATCCTTCAAAACGGGCATTAATGACCACTGACTAAGTATCATTACCACTGAGGAGACTTGTTGCCAGAAACTTGCCGAGGAAGAATGCATTCCTTGAACTGTCCCAATTCAGCCCATGTGCCTCTGCCTGAGCTTCCATTCACCCCATGTCTGCAACTCAACATGCCCATTGTTTCTGATTGCACAAGGGCTCATTCTCTTCCCAGGGACAAATGGCTTCATTACCAGAGGGCTGTGCTCTAAGGTTCAAACCTCCTTGAGAGGGGCCTGAACCCTTAAACAGGGGTACAGTGCTCCTCGGCCGCCCCATTTGCTGCCCCTTCTCCAAGGTCAGGAAGAATCACACAGTTCACATCTGACATCTGGGCACGAGGCTGTGTTGTGAATGATTAGACATGATTAAACTGAGGTCATGTCAACCTCACGAGAACCAGAAAGAGCCCCAGTGGGGTGGGGCAGGGAGTTAGTGACGAGGAAGGGCATGGGGAAATAAGGAAGCCCAGAGTCAAAGCGTCCACACCACACTAGTGGACATGCTAGTGAGAGATTACTATTTATCTCCTAGAACGTGGCACATTTACAAATCCTCATATCATTCTAGTTACACAAGATGCTCTTTTGGGAAATTACCTAACACAGTAGTAAGGACATAGGCCCTTCATCGTCAGTGTGCGTGTGCACGTGCGTGTGCGTGTGTCTGCTGAGTGCGGCTCTGCTGAGCACATGAAGGGAGAAGCGGGTTCCACTCTAGGAGTTTTGGAGTCTGTCAGGTCTGGGTTCCAAACCCAGCTCCACCACCCACTGGCCATGTGGACGCCTCAGCTGCCTCACCTACTCCATGGCAACAGTAAGGTATCCCGCTTCACAGTGTTGCTTCAGGAAACTACCAAGAACCTGTTAGAGCCCCTCAGGGCCTGGCAGTAAGTAAGCACTCAGTTAACTATCACCTCGCTTCCCTCAGAAGCCTTTCCCTGAGCCTGGAAGACACTGGTCAGACAACAGTGTAACTGCTGGAAGCGCTTGGCTGGTAACAGAAACATGGTCATTACACGCAAACATTAAGCACATGCTATTTAGAGACGGATGAGGTCACTTGTGTCAGCCTCCCCGGTAGGCTTCACGGGTGGGTCCTGGTCCTACTTCCTACCTCCTCACTGCCCAACCCGCTGCCAAACTCAACTGCGAAATAAATTAGCACTAGGCCAGAAGGAGAACTTACTCCCCCTCGCTCATCTCACCGCCACTCAACCCCAAATGCCACCAAATAGAAATGCCTTTTTGAGACAAGAGTTAACAATACAAAAAAGCTTGGGAGGAGATAGTTTAGTCTGAAACGATCATTCTGAATGAGAACAATTAACAAGCCAGTAATGACTCCCGGGAGGTCCCACAAGCTGCACGCACCTGCCCGCCCACCAGGCTCGCACACACCTTGCACCGACGAGTGGAAAGCCAGCCCATTAGATGAAGATGAGGCTTCTACAAAGTCTTTTCATTTGATTAGAAAGCAGTTCACTGAGATGCTAGCCGATCTTGATCCCTGCTCCTCTTCTGTTTAATGGACAATTTTCAATATGAACATAAAACTTCTGCGTGTACTCTTACAGAGCCTCGGGGCTCTGCTACAACCTCTCCAGCGACCTGGATCTTAATGACCGTATCACGTGTCCACTGTCCTGGGCAGCAAGCTCGGCTCAGAGTCAGGCCTGCAGTCAGGTCGCCACTTATGAAGAGAAAGGGTGTGAAACTT